CTTCTTGTTCAGTGATCTCATTCTCTCTAAAAACCTGGATTTTCTGTTTCTGAATGAAGTTTGGCAGCAAACATCTGATTATTCTGATCTGATTGAACTTTGCCCGAGTGGTTATTCTTTTCTTAGCCAGCCCCGGGGTTCTGGTCGTGGTGGAGGCCTAGCTGCTGTTTTCAGAGACCATCTTCCATGTAGCTCTACAACCTCTGGTCAGTTTGCTTACTTTGAACTGCAGCTGATTAAAGTCGGGCGTAAGGACCCGTTCTACTGTGCTGTGGTTTATCGTCCACCTGGTCCAAACAGTTCTTTCCTTCAGGAGTTTAATGACTTTCTATCCTCCACTGCGAAGCTGTCCAGACTGGTGATTGTTGGTGACTTTAACATCCACGTTGATGAGCCCTCTGATCTCTTTGCCATGAATTTCTCCAGCCTTATGGACTCCTTCGGCTTTACCCAGCATGTTTCTGGCCCCACACACACCAGGGGGCACACTCTAGACCTTGTTTTTACCCTGAGTCTAAATGCTGACAGTGTTTGTCCTGAGGACGTTTATATTTCAGATCACCATTGCATTTTCTTTAACTTGTCTGTTTCTGCGTCCCCACCTCCTGCTCACCGTCTGGTTAGTTCTCGTTTTCTTAATGAGAGCACAGCAAGCAATTATTCTGCTGCTTTTGATCCACCCTGTTCTTCTGATAACAACCCAGATTCCTTAACTTCTCAGTTTAACGAACACTGCCTCTCCATTCTGGACAACATCTGTCCTGTCAGAACCAGATCAGTTCCTGCAGTGAACCCTACTCCCTGGTTTAATGACAGCCTTCGCAGCCTGAAGCACCAATGCAGAAAAATTGAGCGTTTGTGGAAGAAAACCCATCTCCACGTCCATCTGCTGCACCTGAAGGATCTTCTGACATCCTTTAACTCTGCAGTCAGAAACGCTAGGGTTTCCTATTTCTCCAACCTGGTGCCCCAGAGCAAAGGGAACCCCAAGGTGCTGTTTAAGACCATCAGCAGCATCGTCTCTCCTGCCTCTCCTACAGCCTCCATCTACTCTGTTGCAGACTGTGAGAACTTTCTGTCTTTCTTTGTGGACAAAGTCAATAAGGTTAGATCTAGCATCTCTCCTTCAGCCTTATCGCTGCCTCTCCCGACTCCAACCAGGCCCGTCATCCTAGATAGTTTTGCTCCTGTTTCGTTGCCTGAGTTATCCAAACTAGTTAACTCTATGAAGACCTCTGCATGCCCCCTCGACATCTTACCCTCATCTTTGTTTAAAAGTGCTTTTCAGTCCATCGGTCCCAGCGTGTTCTCTATAATTAATGCTTCTCTGTTTTCTGGTCAGGTCCCTGCTTACTTTGAGAATGCTGTAATCCACCCGCTTCTTAAAAAACCGAGTCTTGACCCCTCTCTCCATAGCAGCTTCAGACCAATCGCTAAACTTCCGTTCATCTCCAAGATCTTGGAAAAGGTTGTGGCTAAACAACTCACAGCTGCTCTTGATGAACATAACATCTATGATAGCTTCCAGTCAGGTTTTCGTAGAGCTCATTCTACTGAAACAGCTCTTCTTAGGGTCTCTAATGACCTTCTGACTCACAGTGATGCAGGGGACTGTTCTGTTCTGGTCCTGCTGGACCTGACTGCAGCCTTTGAAACTGTTGACCATCACCTGCTACTGGAGAGGCTGAGAGACTGGGTAGGCCTATCAGGATCTGCTCTGCAGTGGTTCTCCTCTTATCTCTCTGAGTGCTCCTTTTCTGTGGCCGTCTCCAAGTTTAGGTCCTCCACCACCTCTCTTACCCATGGTGTCCCACAAGGTTCTGTGCTGGGGCCTCTGCTCTTCCTCCTCTATCTGCTTCCTCTTCAGCACATCCTGAGCTCCTTCAAAGGAATATCCTACCATCTTTATGCAGATGACATCCAACTGTACATCTCCTTTAAGCCCCATGAGATGTCTAAGCTGCAGCTGTTACACACCTGCTTAGACTCTATCAAAACCTGGATGGCTGGAAGCTTTCTTCAGCTGAATGAAGATAAGACTGAGATCCTCATCTGTGCCCTAGACAAGCTGGTTCCCAAAGTCAGAGACTCTCTTGGTCAGCTTGCTTCCCACACCAAACCTTCCATCAGGAATCTTGGCGTGACCTTTGACCCAGCTCTCACCCTGGATTCTCATGCCAGTTCTCTTGTTGGCTCTTCCTTCTTCCATCTCAGGAACATTGCTAAGCTGAGTCCCATTCTGTCTCGCCCTAAACTCGAGACAGTTATCCACACCTTCATCTCCTCACGCTTAGACTACTGTAACTCTCTTTTCACGTGTCTGAGCAGAACCTCCCTGAACCGTCTACAGGTGGTGCAGAATGCCTGTGCTCGGCTTCTGACCAAGTCCTCCAAACACACCCACATCAACCCACTTCTCCTCCAGCTTCACTGGCTGCCAGTCAACTTCAGGGTTCATTTCAAGATCCTGGTTCTGGTCTATAGGGCCTTACATGGACAAGCACCATCTTACATTGGTGATCTTCTTAGTCCCTACACCCCCAGCAGGTCCCTGAGGTCCAGTGATCAAAGCCTACGGGTTGTGCAGCACCAGGCTAAAGACCAAAGGTGACAGATCATTTGCTGCTGTGGCCCCCAGACTCTGTAACTCTCTCCCCCTGAGCCTGAGATCAGTGGACTCAGTGGTCTCCTGTAAAAAGCAGCTGAGGACTCACTTGTTCAAGCTTGCTTTTGTATGACCTTCTTCAACCTCTCTCTCTTTATTCTGCTCTCCCCACCTATTCCACCTTCCTCAGGATCCACTGATTTCCCTCTTTCCTATTCACTCTCTCTCTTTCTTAACATTTTTTCTTTTAAATCGCAATTGCTTATTCTTGCTCATTTTAAATATATTTTTAAACATTTTCTAAAAACTTTTTTATATTTTTACATTTTTATTTTTTTATTTTTTGTTTTTGTGAAGCGCCTCGTGATTTTTATCTTGAGAGGCGCTATAGAAATGACATTTTCTTCTTCTTCTTCTTCTTAAGGAGAATGTGTGAAGAAGAAATGTATTATTTCTATACATGTTTTGGCTGTCAAACTTCCATAATGCCCCTTTAAATAGAAAATAAAAAAAACTGTTGTTGAAGGAAAACGAATGAACACAACTCACAAGTGTTTTTGCTACACTCAAAAAGAGATGAGTACCCGGGAGAGGATGTGAAAGGGAGTGTGCTCATGTGTTTCCTTTCCTCAGGCTTGTTAAATTGGCAGGTCGATGATGCTTTAAATCAATGTTCCAGCACCACCGCAAACCCCATGAAACCCATTAGTGAATTAAGATAGACCACTGTTCCACCCTGCTCTGCCTTCAGGTCCTTTCCACATGAAAAAAATGAGAGGGAAACTGTGAAGTAAAACAAATGGGAAAAAGGAGTGAAAATGGGGATGACCAAAGGTGCTGGCAACAGAGGCAGGGGTCAACTAAACAGCTGTTGCCCCTGCTTTCAGCACATAATTTAGTAGCTAATCTCTTAGATGGTATCTTCTTAAATTAGTGTTCCCTCCAGTGCAATAAAGAATTCTCCACCACTACTATAGTTTGTCCAGGGGCGCCTCCAGAAAATTTTGATAGGGGTGGCCCGACGAGGCCAAACAAATTTTTTTGAGGTGGCACACCAAATTGGTCCCTGTGGTAACTCTGGGAGAGTTTAGCCTGTGGCGCTGTATTGCATTGCTCCTTTATTTGTTATTAGTAAAAAAAATCATTTATAATAATAATAATAATAATAATAATAATAAAACATTTCAGAAAAAAACATTTCAGTTATTACAAAGACACTTTCAAATTTTATTTTAAAATGTATACAGAAATTTTGTTGTTTAAATTTCCTGTTGCTGTGTTTACAAAAAACTATGGAGATAAAAACGTATTTAAAATGGTGAGCAGCAGAAACATATGTTTTTTTAATTAGTCTGATTGTTTCTTTACACATTAATTGTATTGTTTATTTATTTTTTGTTAGTTTTTTTACAATTATGTCTTGAATACATAAGATCAATTTATGGTTAGAGTGAACATTAATATGATTTATTAGCAGTGGCTTTTCCTGGCCGGGCCAGCAATTTTCTAGGGGTGGCCATGGCCACCCCTAGCCACCCCTTGGGAGCGCCATTGAGTTTGTCCCTGCAAAACTGCAAGGGGGGCCAAACAGGAGTAGATGTATACGACAGAAGAGAGGACACCAAGCAGAGCTGCAATTTTCTGATAGCGTTGTTTGTGTGGTACTGTCTGTGGCTCATTGATCCATTTATCTTCATTACGTCGCCATGTGAGCACCACTAGATACTGCCACCCTTTGTTGTATACTCCCAGTGCCGACATGTAATGTACTGTCTGCCTACCTGCCAAACAATGTCCCTGTCACCTTTCCTCAGATGCAGAAGATGGCAGTTACTGGTTAAAAACATGTCCAGAAGATTCAGTTTCACAAGGTTAGATGCAGGTTGGTGAGACAAAGATACCATGACAACAGGAAGTCACCCACATCCCAACAGTACAGATGTGTTGGTTGAGTCATTATTCAGGCTGCATGTATGTATTTTATGAACATCCACCCACTCACACTCAAAAGAGAACGTTTGACCAACAATATAAATGAAATTGCTAATAAAAAACCTTTAACTTCCCTGTTGGTTTACCAATATCCAAATGGGTCAGGGATCCTTTATTAAGATCTAGCATAAAGTCCCGCAGGAGCTGCCCTGCTTTACGTTCTCTCTGAAATATTACCTCTGTCTGCAAGTCTAACCGCTGAGCCCTCTGAGAGATTACGGGTCATGGCTCTTTAAAAGAGCACCAACACAACGTTCACCTCCACGTGTCAACTTGTGAAATATGACATGATTGACTTGAACCTGTTATATCGTGTGAAAAAAATGGGACAAACTGACTGCTCACTTGTCCCCTTTCTCTTTTTCTATTTCTGACCATTACTTGTCTGTTTTCTCTTTTGTAGATACAACTCTGGGTGTCATCTTAACCACTGCCTCGTTTGAGTCAGAGGAAAAGGAAACCTGGACCATGGTCTGGTTTGGTGGCCGCTGTTGCTATGCATGAAGGACCGCCCTGGCGTCAATGGAGACCGAAGGCTTCCGTGACCTCCTGGAGACCAGCGATGGTCAGGGGGTAGGCCTGTTGGATGGAGGAGGGGAGGTGGGTGTGGAGGAGGGCTGGAGCACACCTTACCCTCTCGGCTTCCAGGTGTCACTGACCACTGTGCTGATACTGGAGCTCGTGTTAGGATTTAGCAGCAACCTGACAGTACTTGTGCTTTACTGTGCTCAGTCCAACCTGGTGGATTCAGTCAGCAACCTGGTCACAGTCAACCTCCACGTGCTCGACATCCTGGTGTGTGTACTCTGCTTGCCGCTGACCGTTGCTGTGATCCTACTGCCTGCTAATGAAAATGGGGTCAGCAGTCTGGCCACACTTTGCTGTTTTCATGAAGCCTGTGTCACATTTACAAGTGTGGCCACGGCAGTGAATGTTTTGGTGATCAGTTTGGATCGTTACGACATCTCGGTTCGCCCAGCCAGCCGCCTGTTGACCCCGAGGCGTGCGGCACTGCTTTTGGCAGCGGTGTGGGCTGTGTCTCTTGCTGTGTTCTTCCTGCCTTTTGTTGAAGGGGACTTCTTCTCAACAACTGCTGAGGATACTGAGGACATTGAGCCGGAAAGGCAAAGCAATGAATCAGAGCTCACTACTGTACCGACGACCATGTTTTCCTCCTTCTCTCCTTCCCTGTTACCCTCCACTCTGCCCACAGCTCCATCACACCACCTGCCACCAGTATGGCAGAACAGGACTCTGCTGTGTGTTGGAGGACAAGGGTATTACACCGGTATGGCTATGTATTACCACTTGTTGCTTCAAGTTCCCTGCTTCTTCATAGCTGTGGCAGTCATGCTGTTCACCTACTCCAGGATCCTACAGGCTCTCAACATCCGAATAGGCTCTCACATGATGAGGGGTACACGTTCCAAGGACTCCACCTGTAGGATACGCTGTAGGAGAAAGAAGAAGAAGGAACTGAGTTTGCCGACTGAAACAGTGTCATCCAACCAGAACCAGAACCTCAACCATCCACCTCTTATTCCCTCTGCCACTCCTACACCAACATCCCCTCCACCACTCTCTTCCATGCCCCCGGGGTTGTCTGACAGTGGGGCGACGATAACTACGGTCAGCACTGCTGCCACCACTCCCATTGCGACCACACCAGCTACCCCTGCTTCTCCAACTCCTCCTTCAGCATCAGCTCAGACCCACGCCTCCACACACCTGCCTGCATCATCTATGGGTGTTCAGGCTTCAGTGTCTGCCATCATCGCCTTGAGGCGGGCAGTGCGCAGACACAGAGACCGACGGGAACGTCAACGGCGAGTTCTGAAAATGTCTCTAATCATCATATCAACCTTCCTGGGCTGCTGGGCCCCTCTGTCTGCCGTCAACATTCTCATCCTTTGTATAGGCCCCAGTGATGGCCTGGTGGAGCTTCGTCTGTGCTTCCTGGCCATGGCATATGGAACAACCATCTTTCATCCTCTGCTCTATGCTTTCACTCGGCAGAAACTGCGACGTGCCCTCAAAACACGTGTCAAGAAACGGGTAGTGTCACTTCTGCAAGTAGACCCAGCTCCCAGTGGAGGGACTGTGATTCATAACTCTTGGGTGGAGGGGGGAGGCCAAAGAAAGTGTCGCAAGTCACGGGTGGAGGCCAGTGATGGCACTGATCGATGTCTCACAGAGACAGTGAGGGAATGAGTCCGGTCGTCCTGACTTTAAAGGGTTGTATGTATTCTACTAAGCAGAAGAAGACGGATCACGAGTGTTTGTGTGTGGGTGTGAGGACAAATGAGCAGGAGTTAGTTTACAAGGGTCAGGTCAAATCCCATGGCCTCTGCTTTTCTGCAGCTGAGAGTGCAGGTGAGCCGCGAGCTTTTACCAGAGCTGATTTTTGCTCTCCTCACACAGGCTGCTGTTATTCCACCTTGGACAACTAATGTCCCTATGGCAACAATAGCCAAGCATTATTGCAAACTAGCCATGATTCCACAAAATACTGGCGTTCACCCTTTTGTGTATGGTATGGGATAGATAACCGTAATGACATACTATACAATACTGCTCCTGTGTGCACTTTTAACTGCATGTGCATGTACATATGCACATATACACACTCACACACAAACAGTCAGCGCACACCTACTTACATTTAGTCTCTATCTGTGAAAGCACACAAGTATCTACCTGCACAGATGTTCTCAGTGACAATAATACTAAAGGAAGTCTTTATTTTTATTTTTTCATGCCTTAATTGGGTTACTAGTTTGTTGTTATGGTGCTGAATGTCCGGCCGTATGTTTACAACAAACAACATAGAGTGAACGTGTTTGCACTCACTGTAAAAGGGTATGGTAAAGTTTACAGGCTTACATCAATTTAAACAGCAAAAACATCCAATCACAAAAAGCCAAAACAAAACAAAAACACTGTTTCAAGTTCATTTCTATCCAGCACCATACTGTACTTTAGAAAAATTCGTACAGGCTAAAAGGCATGTTGTCTTTTTTCCTTTTTCAAAGACACCTGATGGTTACGGCAGTAGATGGTCGTGTGATTTGAGATTGTATGTTTGCACATTTGTGCAGGCTTGTATGCAACGAATGTGCAATTACCAAAAAAGGAAGACATATCTAGGACTATGTGCAATAAAAAGTCGAGCAAAGCAATGACCTCTAAGATGGGAACAGAGAATGTGAACACAGAATTGTTGGGTTTCTGTTTCCTGTAGGATGTGCAAAAGTCTTGAGTCATCCCTCATTTCTTTATATTTTGCATCCAAGCATTCAGATGCACCTGTGATTTTTACAGTGGTCCGAACTAACCGACACATTCTCAGACCCGAAGCGGCTGAAACTGACGAAGGGTGACCAAGCGTCAGTTTCCGACGCATTGGGAGCCCCAACGCTGCGGGAGGCGAAGCGCTGTGCCAGAGCGTTGCTTTCTGACGCCTGCGGTAAAACGGACATTTAACCTCTAACCTCCAGCGATTTTACCTTCCCCTCACCCCCATCCTGACCTTAACCCAGTTTCTCTTTCGAAATTTCCCGTCAACCGTGTTTAAGAGAAACGGTACAACAAGAAACAAAGTTTTGCTTCCGCTAGTGGGTTAGGGTTAGGATGGGGGTGAGGGGAAGGTTAAATAGCAAGAGGGTAAAGGTCAGAATTTGCTAAAATCTCTGTTTTACCGTGGGTTTTAGAAAGCGCCGCTATGGCGCAGCGCATTGCGTCAGAAACAAACGCTTGGTCAGCCTTCGTCTGTTTCAGCCACATCGGGGGTGAGAATGTGTGAGAATGTGTTGAATTAACAGTTCTCCGGGCTTTCTAAAGGTATTTCACAGCTTTACCGTGGACTGTGGGTGTTTTGTCACTCCCTTTAATGCTGCTTTAGCAACCCCAAAAAACAAGCTAGGTTTTGAACACAAACACGGTCACAAAACACTCACACCTCCTTTTGAATATCTTCCCTGAGGCACTTTTGCTGGAACCGGACACCCACATTTCAAGATGACACAAGAGCCTGCTAAACACCAGTCGCCATTTTCTAGGTCCAAACATCCGTGTGTTAATGGTGTTTTTCTTTTTGAGACTCTGGTAGTTTGTCCCAAAGCTGAAGCGGTAGCAGCCGGCTGTTTCTCCTTCTCTGATATTATTGAGCAGAGAACCTCTCACGCCAGTTGTGCTCTGTTGTTAAATACACGAGTGTGTTATGAGTGGCGGACCCAGAGAAGTGCAGCAGTTCGGCGAGACAGACAACCGGATGGTCCAATAGTTGCTTTCAGTTCGAAGCGTGTCATTGTTGGAGGTTTTCAGGCAAAATGCGAGAGAATCACTTCGTTTCGTTTTCTTTTTTATCTCCACAATATATTACTATGTTAGCACGATTTGGTTTTTTGTTGTTCATCAAACACAGTGTAAATAGTTTGGGTTTACCTGTGCTTGCATGCTTTGGCGTCCGCTGATGCCTTCGTCAGACCAACTACGGATGCTGGTGGCGTCACTTCTGCTTATCTGCCAGCAGTAAAGGACCCTTTGAAATACCTTTAAAAACCTGAGCAACTATTGATCGAGACTACTTACAAATATTACAAGAAAGTCTGGCTGCTCAGAAGCAGGATATGAAGACACCAGGGGTGTAAAACATCTGTAGATGATAGAGGAGAGAGACAAAAAGAGGAGACTTTGTCAGCTGAGAAGCAGCTGGAGCTACCGGACCTTCCAAAAAAGAAACTAACTTGGGGCATTTGTAACTATGTGTATATGAAAAAAGTCACTAATACTTCTGGAACTGCATCACTACTATTTTAAAGAGATAAATAAAGGGCAATACTTTGTGAAAACTTTATTAAATCTGTCTGTGAAGCCAGTGCAGGTTGACTAGGAAACATAATCCCAGCATGACACAACAACAACCACCATCATGGGTCGTCTCCTAGTGTTAACGGCTGGTGTTGGACGGTCTGCTGGACGATACCAGCCTCTGGACATAAACCTGGACGTGCTCCACTATTTACGTCTCTCTTTCTCCTCAGGGCTTTGTGTCTCATTTCCAAACTTGTTGGACTGAAAACAACCAGCCCTCAATCAGCTGTTGTATTATGGGTGTTAGAGTAGGCTACTACGGTTTCTGTCACTGACTAGATAGACTTTTAACTTTGTATGGACTCAAGACTTGGCAAGCTCTTTGGGCTTTGGGCTACTTCCTCTTTCACGTGCACCATATATTCATGTACATTTTTCAGGGATGTAAATATTTAAATGTTTTATTTGGGTTTTAGTCTGAAACCCTTTATTTGGTCACAATCATCTGCCAGACAGAGTCTCAGTCATTGTGATAAACTCTTAGCGAAGTTGGAGAGTTAAAGAACAACGAGAAGATACACGTACGTGTATTTGTGTTAATACTGTATGTGTGTACCTTACATTTATGACAATGTGAATAGAGAAATATTAGTATTGTAAAATATTTATAACATGTGCTAGTGTATAGAACAGAGCAGAATCTGTATTAAAGAAGTCTATCTCTGTTTGCTGTGTCAGTTTAGTTCATCTGAGTTTTGACTGTTCTTTTATTGTCAAAGTTCACTTATTGTGTTTTAAACAGTGTTGGGCAAGTTACTTCAAAACTGTAATGCATTATTTATTACTTGTTACCCTCATTTTAAAGTAATTCATTACATTACAATATTACTGATTTTAAATTGTAAGGCATTACACTACTTTTGCATTACTTTAAGTTACTTTCACCAATACAACTTCAATATGAATCTGGTAATCTGACGCTCAGTGTGCTCATGACATATATGTGGAAAGTGATGTGGTGTCTGAGCTAGGGTTGCTGTTAAAACAGTCAGAAATAACAACAGTGCTTTAAAATGATTGTTTATTAAATAAAAGCAACAACAATCTGTATTCTCAACACGCTGCCATCTTATATTAACTGAGCAGGGAGTGAGGTGGTGGGGGCTCCAAGCCTATATTTGCCTTGGTCCCCAAATGCCTTGATACGGCCCTGGATGTGGGACTGACTTCTGGGGTGATCTGATTCTATCACATGTATAAATATTAAATGCTTATATATTATTGCTTTTCACTGGTAAAAATGTGTATTGGGGATAAATCTACCTACTTTTTTCTTTTTTTCTTGATTTTAGTTGAATAATTTCCTGCCCTTTCTCTCTCTAACCTTCCTGCATGCTGCATGTTTTCTCCGTCTTCCAGAAAAAACTGTTTCCTAGACTTCCTACTTTCTAACTATCAGCCAGAGGGATCTTCACATGCGCGGCGCTCCAGCAGTAATGAGTTGAAATCACCGGGGCTCAGATTATGAACTCAGCTGAGGCAAAGCACGTCAGAAAAGCACAAAATACCAGAAAATATGCGCTGATATGAACGATCGCAAGTGAATTATTTTGTTTTAGTGGAGCGATTTTGTGAATGTTGCAGCGGCCACGTGCAGGACGCAGCTGGAGTAGTTGAGCCGTTACCGCTGCGTCCTCTCTGCCCGCAAAGCTGAGTCCATAAATGACGTAATATATGCAGATACTGGATCTTTCTTCGGGTTTCCCGTAATTTGAATTTTTAAGGAACACATCTTGATTCTGGGTTTAAAAATGCATTGTAATAACCGCGTTACTGACACTTGTACCGAGTAAATATTACCAATTGCTTTCCCTGTAATGCCTTACATTACCACATTACAGCAAAAAGCAATGCATTACAGTAATAATTACTTTTTTACCGCATTACTCCCAACACTGGTTTTAAAGATTTACTAACAGTATACATGTAAAATCTGCAAGAACGTCGGGTAGAAATGACCAATATAGATGTAGAAAATAATGGAATATCGGGGTATACCATTTCATTATATATCTTAGGGTAGCAGTACTTATTAAAAACATAGAAAGTCATTTAAAGAAACACTTTGCAACTTTTTCCATATTTTTAAATCATTTTCTTGAGCCAGTGTGTGCTAAAATGACGCTTTAATGATCCAGTCTGGGCGGACACTCTACCACTGGCCACTGAGAAGGAATGGCACGCCACCCTGCCACTACCACCCCTGTGGACAGAATATTCTACTTGCAATTTCAGGCTGGTGGGCTGCTCTGTTGGGAGCTGACATACCTGGTGCTGCAGTCTGCTTCTAGCATGATTCCTGCATGTTTTAGATCATGAAGAGCTGATTTGTTTAATTTAGTGATGAATACTCCTGTAGACACTAATGAAAGCTGGGGAGACATTTCAGTTGTTAGATTAAGGTGCTAAATAGACGATTGCACAGTGAGGAGATAGACAAAAACTTTTATCAGATAAAAAACGCAGAACGAAGGTAACAAAGAAACAAAAAAACTGTACAGCAGTAGCTCAACAGGTTGAGCGGGTTGTCCAGTAATCGGAAGGTTGCAGGTTTGATCCCGACTCTGGCCAGAATTCTGCTGTTGTGTCCTTGGGCAAGACACTCAGCCCACCTTGCCTGCTGGTGGTGGTTGAAGGAACTGGAGGCGCCTGTGCTCGGCAGCCTCACCTCTGCCAGTGAACCTCAGGGCAGCTGTGGCTACATTGTAGCTCATCACCATCAGCGTGTAAATGTGTGTGAGTGGATGAATGATACACTGTAAAGCACTTTGGAGTCCTCTGACTCTGAAAGGTGCCCTTTAACAAAAAAAGTGAGGAGATAGGTTTTGCTTTTGGTTCTACAAACGGACACTAGGGGGTGCTAAAAGCAAGCCAAAACTGCCTGGTTCCTCTATAAACAATTTTCATTTGGCAAAATAATAGCTAGCATTGAAGTGACTTCAGTTATCCATTACATTCTAAGCACTCTGTGAAAAAAAAAACAATTTTTGTTGCATGGTTATTTAAATAGGAAACTAATTGAACCAGCCGGAGCATTTCCTGTAAAAGTATAATAATTGTACCTGAGTAACCATCCTCGACATTAGTGTAAAAGAAAAGCTTGAGTTGTTCCAAGATGGCAGAAATCAGCTTTGGTTTGGACTTAAATCAGCCTAGCTGTTAGCAACCTGAGGCTAAATGAAACTCTTTTTTTGGTGTGTTCTTGCTGTGTTGGAATTCTAATTCCATCTTTTAGTTCCTTTTAAAACACAGAAAGGTTTTATTTACCTGCAACGTTTCGTTTGCGGCTGCAGCCGCAAACGAAACGTTGCAGGTAAATAAAACCTTTCTGTGTTTAAAAAAAGAACTAAAAGATGGAATCCAAATGAAACTCTATTTCTCCAACCCGACGTTGTCTAAAGCAACATTTAAAACAATTCGTTCATAATTGGTCACAACCTTTCCACAGAAACCCGTGTTTAAAGACGGGGACTTTTCCTACGTTTGCTCATGTAGACAAACGGCCTGAAAGGTTGAATAAATGCTACATTCTCAGAAAGCATCGAGATCCGAGGAAGACAAAATCCACCAAAGACCAGAACACAGTATGATACTTATTTCACTTCTATTATAAAAGCCTTCAGAAAACGACATCTGAAAAATGCAATTGGATTTAATCATAATTGCAGTTTCAACTCAAGATGTGGACAGCCAATCCTCCATCCTTCATCCTCTGGACCCCAGTGCTCAAATCCTTCTTGTCATTTTTTTTCAGCCATCCCTCCCTTTTTTACATTTCCTATCTTTATTCTGTTTCTCTGATTCCTAAATTTAGAACCGCCGTCCCAGATACTCGCAGCATTTTGTGCTGACTGTAGAGAAGCTTCACTCTGTCTCGTTGAAATGTGACAACTGTGCTAATCAGCAGTGCTAATGAAGATGAAACGTGTTAGTAAGGTAAGCATCTGTGGGAACAGCGTTTGATGCGGACAAATCCACCAGTGTATGTGGCATGTGTGCGTGTGAATGATTGCTGCCTTACTGATTTGTGAACTTAGTCCAAAGTGCCGATTCCTCCAACCTGCTTGATAATCTCATCAGTCCCCTTCGCTTTCACACTCTGATTCTCTCCCTCTCTTCATGCTGCCAGTCTGCATCTCTCTCATCTCCTATCCACTCTCAGGCCTTTCAGAACAAAAGCGAGGAACAGCTGCAGTGTCTGAAGGAAAGGAAAGTCACCTTGGGGGATGACAGGGGAACGAAAATGTGAGGGAGAGAATGAGGCAATATGGAGGGGAGATTAGAAAGGGGAGAATGAAGAAAAGAGAAGGAAGGCGTAGAAGCTGGCACCGAGACATTGTATGACTAATAAAGGGACTGTATACTGCATCACTGCAGACAAATACCAAGTGCAGGATGATAAGACGAGCCTGCTCTAGTGTTTCCTTCTACATTTGGACAAAGTGAACAGAATAAAGATTGATTTTTATCAGAATGTCATTCAGAAGGGCATAATATAGGAGCCAGGATTGCTGGAAAATACGCAAAAGATACAAATAATTGTTGTTATTGTCTAAGGGAATTGAGGAGAATACAAAAGACTAAAACCATGGCAGCATTAGGAGAGAACTGCTTACACAGCTGTCTTTCTTTTTCAGAGATATAAAATAATGTTATTTCAAAAATTTATGATCTGTAGGTACTAACCTGGTTTTATCTTTATGTTCACTGACTTACAAATACAGCTCACCATGATTAAAAAGCAATTTTAAAAAACTGTCATACTTCTGAATTCTGCTCAAACAAGTGAAATGTGGCTTATTTCTTTATGGCCACTGAGTAGAAATTCAGCAAAAATATTCTTAAACTGATGTTACTTTTTCTGTATTTTTAAAATGTTTTATTTTCAGAACATGAGTGTAATTGCTAAGCATTTAGTGTGCTGTCGAGCAATGGCGCCATCTAGTGTTCGCACGTAAGAGATGCAACCTGACTCCAGGTATGTGTGTTAGCTATCACTTTAGTCCAACGCTCGTCCTCTTGAGCGTCGCTGCCAATGCTAATGGTACCTTCTTTCTTTTATATTCCCACCAAGGAGGTGAAGATTGTTATTGCTGTATTTAGTCGATTGAATATGGAGTTACAAGGCGTAATAGCCCTGGCAGTTAGCATAACTATGTGTATGAAGGTAGTTAGATAGCTAGCTAGTGGTCTTCTAGCTACTTAAGACTTGCCTGATGTGCTTCTTAATTGATAATTGTTGACACCACAAAACCTAGCTTAACATCGGTGCATAGACAACCGAGTACACAAATTTCTAAAATGTGGTCTGTTGGAGATTGAATGCATGGGTGCCGAAATAGCTCAGTTGGGAGAGCGTTAGACTGAAGATCTAAAGGTCCCTGGTTCGATCCCGGGTTTCGGCAGTCACTGGAAAGGAAATGAATCTTTTAAACACGGTAAATTTAATTAGTCATGTCACTTTGTGAAGCACATCATGTCTTGTGTCTGAAAAGTGCTACACAACTAAACTTCTAGAACAAGCCCAATTTTTTTGATTACCATTTGTTTACGTTCTTACACCAAGAAGAGTCAAGGATTCAAGACCCAATTAGGGGTGGGCAACTCCAGTCCTCGAGGTCTGCCGTCCAGAATGTTTTAGTTGTTTCTCTGCTCCAGCATGCTTAGTTTTAATCAGCAGGTGATTAACAAGCTTCTGCATAGTTTTATGAGCAGCAGAACAAGTGATTTAACCACTGCATCAAGTGTGTCGGAGCAGGAAAACAACTAAAACATGCAGGACAGCGGCCCTAATTGGGTAGCCCAACCCTGCAGGTGTTCAGAGGCTGCATGCTGACAAAAGCTCCTTTAGTGCCCTTCCACCTCCATCACTTCATTCCAGACAAAAATAACCCCTGAGACGTGCATGATGTTTTCACCATTCACTCGCCATCTGATTATAAATCCTCTCTGTCTGCAGGGCTTCAGGATGTGGACAAAAGCCTAATGTTTGTTCCTTTTCTTCCTTAAGAACTGGAGGGAAGCTGTCCCACCTTAACCAAAGACATCCAAGTCTCTTTCCTCAGCATTTGCCCAAAATCACAAAAGTAAAAGCAGTACACTGCAAAAAAAAAAAAAAAAAAAAAAACAGCGGCAACTACTTAAGATTACTGCTGCCTTTAAAGACTTTAAGCTAATTCTAATAAAAAGCATGTAAATATGTTTGGATGGTTTAGTGCTTTGCTTATTTAAGAATGTGCCCTACTCTGGTACTCTGGTGTTTAGTTTGGTTTCTGCTTTAAGCACTTTTAACTCCGCCTCCTCAGGAATCTGATTATATATTATTGCCACTAGGAGGCAGTCTTTGCTCAGATAGCAGACCAGAAACACTCAGCAGTTACAAGAACATCTTTTATTAAAAAACTTAAAACGTTTTTAGTTTAAGTGAAAGTATCCAAGATTTTAGAGCTCAGGCTTGGAGTTAAAGCTGCATGGTTCTCCTCCTCAGACCGTAAGAGGACTTGTTTCTCTTCTAAAACATTCAGTATTGTTGTTTTTCAAAGACAAGCTAGTAACTAAACATTTGTGTTACTTTTCTTAAATTTAATCTATAATTAACCATAAACAATGTTTTTATTAGTGTAAACTCACTTATCCTAAATGAGGAGAAATTAAAATGCAAGAATAAAGTAAGATTTCTGAGAATGTGGGAGTTAGTATGGCTGATGGATCTGTAATAATCCTGCTCACTTCAAACAAATTCATCTGTTTTAAAAGTAGAAACACAACTGAAACAAAAAAGTATTTTCAAATATGTGTTTTATGCTTGAATAATATTTAATCCACAACTATATGGAATCAGATCTGACGGTGATCTTTTAGCCAACAGTGAACATTGGTTAGATGACCATCTAATTCCAACTACAAAGGTTCCCTTTCATCCTCGTCTGCTGCACAAGTAAAAACATACGTAACAAGAAATGAAAGAACCCCAGTTTATTTGTTCTTTTTCATCATAAAAACTTTACAGGACAACCAGTCCAGGTAAAAGTGGAACACCTGTTTGGTTCATTCCCATAATCCCACCCACCAGGTAGAATGTCCTGTCCCGTCTGATCGGTGGCTATTCCCACTGATAACATGTGCCTGAATAATTACAGCTTGTTTTATCGTCTACTCTAAAACGACTCGACCGACTGGTGTTTACAGAGCTGTCCTACTTGTTATTGATTCCCTCTCTCCCATCTCAGGCTACCTCAGCGGTGTGTGGCCCTGGTCTGACATCCTTGACGTTTTCTGCAGAACATTTACTATTCAGAGCTTTTCTGATTCAAGAATTTTAGATAAAAATCTCTGAAATTGTATTAAATGTGTGTAAAAGTGTATCTGCATGAACATTTTAAGCAGGCAAACACACAAAAACATAGTGTGCCATCATCTTTCTCAGTTTACGAGTGTTTGATGTGTCACCAGCAGCAACCTGACTCCCCTGCTACACTCAGCTCTCCTCTCACCTGTTAGCATGTTTAACAACACAAACACACCGACTCCGTCTTCTACCGGTCGGTACAGGTTTTCACCTTTGTACACAATTTAAATGGAAGTTTTACTGTCTGTGATCGTTGTAACTTTCCCCCGGAGGAATGAACTCAATACACTCTGATCACAACACGTGATGTGCTTGTTTTATGCGTGTGTGTGTGTGTGTGTGTGTGTGTGTGTGTGTGTGTGTGTGTGTGTGTGTGTGTGTGTGTGTGTGTGTCTGTGCGCGTGCGTGCGTGCGTGCGTGCGTGTGTGTGTGTGTGTGTGTGAAGATATACCCAAAACAATCCCTCCATGGTGTACTATTTATTAAACATGAGAAGGCGGCTTTTTCTTATGTGCAAAATTACAATAAATGAGTGATTTTGGAATAAAATTACAGTCTAACAGAGGTGTGGACTCGAGTCACATGACTTGGACTCGAGTCATTATTTTAAAGAGCAAGTCACCCCCAAATAAACTTTTTTTTGCTGATAAACTAAATAAACGAGTGTCTAATCGTGCTGCAGACACGTGTCGTCAATAATTTGGCACTTCAGTGCATCTTAGTTCAAATTTAAACATTCTGCCTAAAACTGGCAGTGTTGTGCCGTTGTCAGGTAAAAACTCTGCACTGTATTTGAATTTAAATCTGCAACCGCTATTGGCTAAGAGGTATGCTATGATGTAAACTGGTACATTATGATGTCACAATGCTATCGTGAGCCTGTGTGTGTGTGTATTTGTTAGTGGCTCCGCCCTCTCGG